TTTTTGTTTGTCCCCTATCTGACACAAGACAACAAAAAATTCCAAACACTGCAATTAACAATCCATAATATAATCAGCGCATTTCAACTACTAACAAAACCAATTTTTTTCTTAGAGTAAATTTTATGTAAACATATATTGTCTACTGATCAATTCATCAGTAATGAATTACATGATATGCAACGAATTTGCAAACTAATGATTTATTGACAACCTAGCTGTATGTTTTGTTCTATTTTATTTTTTTCTTTTCAGAACATCAAGCTCTTACAAATGATGTATATTTAATAGATGGTAACCAGACCAGCTTAACAGCTAATCACATTGCTTGAAAGTACATATATACATCACAAACAAATTACAAGCTTCAATGTACTACTGAACCTGTTTTAAGTAGCCTTTTTGTTTTTCCTCTATCTGACACAAGACACCAAAAATCTTGGTTGGTTGGAGAATTTTGAGTTAGAAATTTTCACAAAACTTTGCCACCAGGAATGAACTAATGTTCAAAACTTCAAAAGGGGTGCTGTCTTAGCAGAATGTTGAAGCTCCAAATTGACTGATACATATTTATATACTATACCCAGCCTATGAAATGCAATCACTTCTTATCGATCCTAACACAATGAGCATACATTTTAATTTATAGTTCCTAACTTGCACATAATACAAAACATCTATTCAGCCATAAGTGACATCATGAATATCCTGAAACAATTCTTCTCACAACAGATACACACAAAAAGGATCAAACTTAAAACAAACTGTATTCCTTCAACTTAAATTACTGCTATATCCTCCTTACAGTACATAAATAATACTGTTGCAAGACAGTTGGGTTCCTTTGAAAGTATGATTTAAGTTCTTAATAGTCACTATATTACCTGTTTGTGAAAATATTTCTGTCCAAATATTTTAGATGCCATATGCCGTAGGCGCTGCAGAATGTTAGAACAATGTAAGTGAATTCTTGTTTAAACATTTCTTCTACTCAATATAAGACTCACTGCATCAAAATAACAACAAAAATGTCATGACTCACCAATGTTGACATCTCATTAGCCATTATCACTAACAAAGCAATTCAATTAAAAAACAACTTGTTGAAAAACCATGCACATTTCAATATTTTCAAAAAAAATTCTCTTCAAAACTTAAGTTAAAAATGTACAAATTTTTTGTTTGATGTGAAAAACATGTATATATTAAATGAATACATCCGTTCAAGGTCTCTTTTATCTTTTAACTGAAAATTTTTATAAAAATACCTTGTACATAGATTACCCTATACTTTTTAATCTTTCCTTCAACTTTTACCACATCTATCTTGTACTTGTCTATTAATAATCACCTAACAAAATACATATAACTTATCAAATTCTTTCAATTCATTGCTAGATTATTTTGAGAAAATGAAAAAGTCATTGATCACAATGATTCAGAATTTATGCACCATTGATTACCAGTTGAAAACAATTCAAAACCAGTTACAAAGGTCACCAGCCACAGTAAGTGAATTTTTTTTAAATTCATCCCTAGAATGGAACATTACCAATAAACCTAAATAATGGTAACACTTTCAAACATTTCAAATAGAAAATACAGTGAATATTTGTCCCTTATCATTACTATAGTATTTATCTAAACCTTAGAACTTTGCCACCCTTGTAACACCATACCTATAATGATAGTCAATCAAATACATCAAATCAAAATGTTCCAATCAATGACATTAATGCCTAATTCATTTCACAACCCGTGGTACACTGATCGCAACAAACTTCTTTAGAAACCTTAAGTAAACTTCTGGTACACTGAAAACCTAATTCAGGGTAGTTTAACACCTTAATCATGTATTCATTTGATCATTTTTTGTATAAAGACTATACATTGACATTACAAATGAAATCTAACAAAAAGTTCCTTCTTTACATCTTATCAACTTCAGGAATTTAAGGTGGATCACATCATTTTAGTGACAAATTATCTCCTATATCTCACAGAACTCACAACAAAACAGATTGTTTTTTACCCATATGTTGGACATCTGTCAAACAGTAAGTTTCAACTTGTGTAGTTTACAATTAAATTCGATCACAACTACAATTACACAAGAAAACTGCCGCCTGGTTAGCTCATGAGCATGAGCACCAGACTACTATGCGGGAGGTCAGGGTTTCAAGACCTAGACCAGACCCAAACTCAGGGTCTTAAAATAACTGAGGAGAATGTGCTGCCTTTGCTATGACATCTGCAAGCACTTATACATTCTAGTTTTCTCAGATAAGGACAATAAGCCGTAGGCCCTGTGTCCTGCATCTTCTTGGTAATGGTTAGTGGGGGACGTGAAAGAACCCACACACTTATCATAAAGAGTAGGGAAAGTAGTTCTGGTAAGTGGGGGACGTGAAGTGGTCTGCCCTGGTGTTAATAGGTAGCTTATTTTTAAGGAGTCTTGTATTCTGTTTTAAGCCTACCTCAGATTTGTTAAATCTGAAAGTTGATTAAAGTAAAGTGAAAGCAATTACCATTGATAGTCATAACACTTACAAAAAAAATTTGCATTTTACATACTAGAACCGCTAATCATAAATTTTTGTGAAATTTTAATGCCCATTTTATATGTCATTTACTCCTTCTGATGTGCTCCTTTTGTTAATGACTTCTTATCCCACAGATTGCCAGATCAAACCTTGCTAAGGTATCTACAGTCGCAGTAGCAAATGAAGCTGAAGACAACTAAAGTGGTAACATTCTGCTTCATTATCTTCTTAGTATACTCTTCTTTACCATTATGTTCTGAGCTTCATATATCCATATAACTGATACCTTGATCTTTTGTCTCCTCAATACATTTCATGGCTTACTTCTGTGTGACAACTGTGATGATCCTAAAATCCAACAGTCACATATAATTGTAAAAAAAATCTATCAAAATGCTCCCTATTTTGTTAATAGCATAACTTGTGCAAAAATTTGCAACCTGATACAGCCTAAACATGACCTAACAAGGGCAAAAAAAGAGCTACATAACTCTGAGAACTGTTGATAAGTCAACAATGCATTTGATTTCACACCAATAACAAATTGTTACAGTCATGAGAACCCATGTTTTTTAAATTAAAATGTTATCTTGTTAATCAATATTACCTCTCAAAATTGGCTGTCACTTTGAAGGAAATAACATATTAGTCTAACCAAGTGTGCCTCAAGCTCACATCTAGAGAAAAAGCAAACAATTGATTCATGAAATCATCACATGTTGCATGACTCAGTGTTAAGTTAGGACAAGAATTCTTGACAATTTGAACACATCACAACAAATAATATGGGGAACAAAATTTCATCCATTTAAAAGACTAAGTCAAAGCCGCTGCTATAATTTCAATCATTGTCCATGTACAGGCAATTTGCAACCTGAAAATCCAACCAATTGGCATTTTTCTCAGCCAAAGTTATAACAGGAATAACAGTGATGGCAAAGCAAGCTTAAAACTGCACAGATTGCCAGAAACCACAACACACACACAAGATGTGAAGCTACCTCTCGTAACTTAACACCAAATCACACAATGCATGATGCTTTCATGAATTAACTCTTTGCTTTATTTTTGACACATGATCTCGACATACCTGAGGTCATACAACAAACTTTCTGTTACTCTTCTTGACACACACAAGTCACCAAGAGTTTTTTTCAAATCAGAAATTTAAGTTGTTGTTCCTTCTGAAAAAGGATCTAGTTGACACCTAGCAAATGATTGCAAAAAATTACTAACAGTAAAAATTTGTATTTATGTTAAAAAGTTTTTGAGTACCCACAATTTACACTAAAAACAATGGCAGGAACACCAGTTTCAACACAAAATATAATACATAAATTTTTAAATAATAACCAAGAATACAAGCTCTGTGCTAGTTAACCCTCTGACCCCAAAGAGTGACTGGCATCTAATTTCTCCTAACACTGTCATCCCTAAATCACACAGAAACGTCATGACAATAAAGGAAATGATCACCAACTAAATAAGCTCTCCTTAATCACTTGATTACTTTCTCTTTCAGCAACAAGTGTTGGCCCATGCCATAATATCCACAAGATTTCATAATTTTTCCTTTATTGCATTGTGTTGGTGTGTTTTTGTGTTTTTGATCTAAAGCAAACAAATGTTGGCCCATGGCGTAATATCCACAAGATTTCATACTTTTTTCATTTTTGCGTTGATTTCTTCTGTTCATGTGGGTTTGAGTTAAAGCAGACAGCGAACCATGAATAAAGAATTTAACTTTGAAAAAGTTATTTGAGAATCTTTGGACATATTAATATGATATTATCAAAGAATAGAAGGTTCATCTTGGCCGGAAACTATGGCCTTTTTCTGAACGAAATGATTTCAAGTTGTCAACACAAATAACTCTACAACCCTTTGTGCCTTTGTGCTGTGATTAATACATACATCCCGATGTGACCAAAACAACACACCTAATGACAAAATTACTACCAAACTTTACCAACCTTAACTGAGCAAAAATGCCTTTTTCCTATTCTCGCGACATGTATGGGCCACCGTAAGCCACCGTACGATCACGCACGACCCAACAAGTTTCCTATTTATCGCGCGATAAAATTCAATTTAAAAAGTAGATAGCATTTCCTCTATGGGCCACCGTATAAATGAAATTCATCGCGCGATAAAATTGAACTTATGAAGTGGATAGGATGTCCTCTGTAAACCACTTTATGATAGTTGCCGTGGACAAGACGACAAAGACTGCAACCGTTGAGGAGGTAAGTTTTGAGGTCGTTTTATTTTCGTCAAAAGATCATTGAGCACTACTTTGCAATACTTCTACAACATATAGCTTTGTGAATCAGTACAGTAAACCTTGATTTCGCTAAATCTTGCTGTCGCACCCATGGTCGTCTTGTCCACCGAAACAAAGGGCGTGACAGCGGATCACGTGCGACTTAACAAGGTTCCCACTATCGCATGATAATTATTTTTTATTTATCGCGCGATAATTTCCATTCATTTTTCCCAGAGGGCATGGTAACGAATCTTACAATCTGATTGGTTCTCACGGGCACGGTAACGCTTCCGTGACTCGCGGAACACATCCCTACCTTCGCTGCCAGTTTTCATTAATTTATCTTATTTTTCCAGCTGGGCAGTATTTTTAAGTAAAGACGTCGATCACTACCTCGACCGATAAATAACTTATTAATCCCCTCTTTTCTCTCTCTCAAATCATAATGTTGACAGTAAATATTGCTTTCGAAGGATCATTTGTAGTGGTAACTGCACAACAAAAACTGAAAAATTTCAAGAAGGAAAAGCCGCATTTAATCCCCTTGTGTCTTGTTGGAGTATCTGATTCGAATTTAGTTTGCATCCATTAGAATTTTGTTCTTCAGTCTCATGGAAGTAGTGTTGTTCAATAGATTGCATAGAGTATATGCAGTTTGGTTTCAGATTTCAGATTTCAGATTTTGCTTTTTTCAACAAGTGTACGTTTTTCAACTAAGACATTGGCATACTTGGCATACATGGCATACGAAGCACACAAAGCTTTCATGGCTTTCAAAGCATATAAGGCTTCAAGCGCTCGCGACTCAATCCGTTCCAAAAATACCGCTCAACAACATCTTTTAGTGTGGATTGGCCGCGAACAACACGACTTGTGTATGCGTCTGTAAGTATTTTGGGCGTTTGCACCATAAAGCTCCGGGTAATCGTAACCCAAAAACGTATAACCTCCATAGCCAAAACAACAACTCCAGAACAAATACAAATTGGCTGACAGAAGAGTTTTATTACCAAAACTCTCGTGGTTCTTCATGTTACCCGGCCCTGTCCATGCATGACAACGTCAATCATCATCAAGATAACACACGTGATCAGCATGTGAACCCCTTCACCCTCATTGGATCACAGTTAGTTGTTATTGTGTTGAGGGCCTAATGACCACTGGATACTATTGCGCAATTTTCCCATTTCGTGGCGGAGGAAAAAAAAAAAGGCGAAGCAGAGGTATCCCAGTAATGAACTAACCGGTCCATTAAGAGAAAGTTCTGTAGTCCAGTCCGATTTTAAACTTACGTAAAGAGTAACTATGGCGACCTGGTCAGCTTGCTTTCTCTGCCTAGTACCCAGACTCTGTGAGAGTTTCCTTTTGACTTCTTGGTTGCATGGCGTTTTGCACGACAACATGAATTTGGGTGCAATTTTGTTTGAAAAGACGAGGCAAGCTCCATCGCCGAGCAAAGACTTTCATCAGCTTCTAGTAACAGAGAATCAAGTGATTCTAAGAACATGGCGGATCTCAATAAGAAAAGACCAACGATACATTCCACCAAGCCAGCGAAAAGTACCAATCGAAGAATTTGACGATGACTCCTTACTTCAGACAGACATCAACCGTATTTTTGGTGAAGACACGCTCCGTCTTGTACACAGCATAGTATGTAAAGACTGGTTAGCCCGTCTTCCTCAAAATGTCCTCATTCATTTGTTGTCATTCCTCGATCTTGTCGACATTGCAAGGCTAGGATCAGTATGCAGGTCTCTTCGGAAAGTTTGCTCAAGCGACGAGTTATGGGAGAAGATTTTCCTATCCCATTGTGACACCATCAACGACGAAACTCGATCCCTAGCAAAGGAAGTCGGTTGGAGGAAAGTGTTCTTTACTAACAAACTGCAGCTTCAGGTTCAAATGAGACGACGTAAAGAAAGAAATAGCGCTGAAATGAAAAGAAAGATAACTCCAGCTGAAGAGCAGATCCCACTAACATTTGTCACTCAGTCAAATGGCAACTACGATCACTATTAATCAACTATTAACTGGTGTCCATTGAGTTTTTTTTGTTTAAGCCATTTTCTGTGAAGGTACTTGATTTGTAACCAAGTTAGCTCTAAGTTATTAGTAATAAGTTAATTGGTTTTTCAAAACATGCTCGTAGCTAAGAGTTATTTGTTGCGTTGTAAATTATATGGATGGATAACTTTTGTCTGCAGAGATACCAGAGACATGCTGAAATTCTTTAAGGGACCCGTGTAGCATACTTTAACAAACTGGTCAGCTTTGAAATTCAATTTCAGAAGTAAAGAAGGTCACAATGCTGGTTTGACATGGATAATTTTGTTTATATGTATACAGTAATTTGAGTTTTATTTTGCTACAAAAAAAAACAAAAACAAAAACCAAACCTCATGATATCTACCTGTTACTGTCTATGATCCAAAGGTTCAGGTGTTGATCAATTATAATGATGGACTTGGATACTTTGTTGTGTGTTAACAATACTTTGAGTTTTATTTCATTAAAAAAAAACAACAAAATTGAAACTTAACTTACATTGAATTGACGTTATCTACCAGTCACTGCTTTTGTCACTGTAGTTGTTCGGCATTTTTACATCCATTGAACTTTGTAGTTGAATAGTAAGCATGCAGATGAACTGACAGACTGAAATCAGTGTTTATGGTTTTCTGAGTCTCACAGTAACCAATATTCATATACTTGAATGTATTATCTTAGTAAAGTTAAGAGTAACTTTATCAAATTTTGATATTAACTTAATACCACTGTTTTACTTTGTTTAGAAAAGTTGGTTGTTAAAATGCTTTTAACCAATAAATATTATGGGTACATAGACAGTTTGTGATAACATATCTTAAAGGACTCACCATATACTGGTAATATCTAATTTTTATTCCTTTGTGAGGAGAGAAAATATCAGTAAGGTATCGTGATGACAAATTGGAATTTGATTTCCAAGTGGCTTGTTGAACCCAGACTTGCTTCTTGAAAAACAATGGATATTGTTCAAAGTGGTGGTGTAATTTCAAAAATGCTCATACTTAGCTGTCCCCCATCTCTTAGTTACTATTTAGCTCTCTTTAAGTCTTGTTTTGCAAATTAATTTCTCAGTCCTCAACAGAACTGTTCCACCACAGTAACTATCATCCTTTGTTATAAGGATTAAAAAATAATAATAAACTGGGCAAATTAACAACAGGCTGCGATAAAACGGAAGTTGAAAATGACAAACTTAATTTCTTAACATTATAGGAGACTTGCAGAAAAACTGTAAATCAAAAGTATGGAGTTGAAAAAAGCAAAAGACAAAAACACATGACTAGACAAAAGTTGCTACAAATTTTGTTTTTATTTTTTTCCACTTTTGTTGTAAATGTTAATAATTGCTATTTAGATGTTTGGTAAAAACTAAGAGTGTCTTCAACCTCTGTCTACCAAACCAGCCCACTAAAAAAGAGTAAGTAATGGTAACTTGAAATAAACAACCACACTGCAGTACTCAATACCAATTTACTTTGTTTTACATTCCTACATGTTTAATCAACTCAGTATAACTAAAAGCTACTTGTCGAAAGAAACATTAACCAACAATAAAATATCAACCGTGAATATTTTTTAAAATTTGTTTTCAAATCATCACAAACCAACTCACTCCACACTCCAATCAATGAATACCACATCACTGTTGATGATAACAACATGCTTGCTCACAGTACAATTTTTGATAGTGTACCACAAAAATGAATATCAAAGTTATCACAAGGCTTATCAGAATGGAGGAAAACATCTCATTTGCTAGGATTGTAGAGTGTAATTTCCAGTTGGCCAATACCAGATGCAGAGTGATAAAAGAAAAGAAAAGCAATCCTAGAATAATTGAAAGTTAGCCCTTCACTCAGAAAATTACATTACCACTAACCTACATGTAATACTTTAAAAAAATAACATAGCTTCCTTGTTTGATTTCCACAGTATAAATAGAGAAAAACATTTTAAAATTTAAATAATCCTTGTACAGTTAAGACATATCCTATAAACTTTAAGACAAAAACTTTCAATCTTTTGTTGTAAATCTACATAAAATTGTGTATGCTTAAAAACACTTTTCCACTCTGAAATGTTTAGTAAATACACCATGAAGCTTAAAAAATGGTCTTCACTCCTGTTATGTCAGCTGACAGATGTGTTTGGCCAGAATGTCAAAGGATTTGTGCCGCTGCCACTCTGAGGTGTGTGTGGTAACTCCTTGATATCCACAACTTCACAAGACATCATGCTACAGCTTATCTAACAACAAATCACAATAACAATAATTAATCAAACTCCAAGAACTCATGGGGGTGTTTTGAAGGAAAATGGCTTTTATTAGAGATTAAGACTTAAAAGAGAGGCAGCCTGGGCATGTTAATTGGATATAGTGCATTTCTGAGCTGTTGTTAATAAATAATAACATTGGCCTTGAATAATTACTTTATGATAGATCATTATTACTGCTAACCATATTCTTGGAACTGTTTCTGCGTGACAGGTTAGTACTCTTGGATTTCCCTTCCTCTTCTTTCTCAACTGTGCTAACATGAATATCCTCTGCCACTGGGGGCCTATTGAAGGACAACATTGTAAAAATAAATAACTACATATTAAATAACTTTGGTGAAGAATTCTCACAGGTCAAATTCTATGAAAGCACACCCCTATAGTACAAGGACACAACTGAGGGACCCCACAGGTGTCCCCATAAGGAACCACTGTAAAATTCATACCTTGATGAAGATATTTCGGAAGGTTGAATTTCATCTCTAGCCACTGCTTCGCCATTTTTTTCTGGATAATCAAAAGAAAATAAGCTAAGTAACACATTTAAATATTGTTATTATTAGTGCATGTAAAATTTAAATACGATCATGATGTACAATAAAAATTCTTCAGGGTTTAAAAAAGAAACAAAAATTTATTAAAGTGAATGCAAATAATGGTCAAAGAGAGAGAGAGCACGACTGTTAAGAAATGACAAATGTCAGTCGAGTGGCTGGGCTAGGCGGTAATTATAAAAAAAAAAAAAATATGCAGAAAAAATAGTACACTACCTACTTAAACATACAAGCACAAAGAAACAACAAAAAAATGGTAGGGGTTTGATACTTATTTACCTATTTTTTCATAAGCATATCAATGTTCAAATCACAGTTGAAAATATCAAATTGTATGAGAGGATTGTTGACACAAGTTCAACTCATAGATTTAAGATCTTCCATAAAATTACTGATTTTTGAACCGTTGAAAAGAACATTGAATTCTCTGTTGTTAACCCCATTGATATACTGTTGGTCATACCAATTTGCTTTGTTGATACAAATTGAAAATCTGTTACAAGTAACTGGTAGTCTAATAGAATAAAAGATCCATGGAGATAATACGACATATTAATTACCTTTTTTCCTTCCATTTTTCCTCCTTGGACGAACATTCTTTTTTTTTTTCTCTTCATCACTCTGGCTACTGTGGCCATTCCTTAATGCCACGCCTGGTTTGCTTCTGTGAAAACTAATGAACTGCTTGTGGACGTCAATAGTGCTGAGAAGATAAACAAATTTTTATAATTTTTTTTAGAACTAAGGAGTAAATCTCTTTGGCCTGGATAATTTACTGATGCAATTAGATTCAGTTAAAAATTTCACCAAGCACTTGAACAATTGTTGTAGGTTACTAGAGAGAATTCCGGATTTCTCCTATTTCTCAGAATATTTTCATTTATTGTGTGACCTTTTTCCAGGTCTTAATAATTAGTTTAAAAATGTTGAATAAAACTCTGGTCTCAAAACAACCCTTAATATTGATAGAGACAATCATAAGGCACTCACACTAAGCATCTGAACAGAAATGATCTCAATAGGTTCCTAATATTGATGATAATCAGTGAAAGTTCCACTTAATTCACAGATTCAGATTGCTTTTACCTCATTTTAATCTCAACAGGAGATGATAAAGATTTACTGGACAATGATGTAGGCTGGACATGACCTTGGGGCTGATGACGTAAATTGTGCACCAGCCTCAGAGTTGGACCCTGTTTTGATACAAATTAAACATAAACACAAATGCAAAAGAAGTAATTCAAGTGAGAGAAATGGTGGATAAATTTGGATCAAGGATGCTGGCTGACCACTTTAATCTTACTGCAGCCCCAGGGCGTGAAATTGCGCCTAATACAGGCGCCAGTGTGACTAAAGTTTTCACTTTGGCGACCAAATCCTGAAAATCGGTTGCCAAATTGGCGACTTGAATGTTTCATCATAACCTTACCTAGAGATATAGTGAATTAAAAAGATTTGCAAAGATAAATCCACAGCAAACTTCCTCATCAAGTTTGTTTCCAAAACGCAGCACATGCATCTTGATCGATAACTAGACGCCATCTTGGATTTAGGTGAGTTTGAACGTTGCATATCA